TCCCTGGACTCTTGTCAGCAGTTAGCCTGAAAATGGAGGGGAGAGTTGATGAAGAGTATTTGGCTTTTTAACAAGCCTATATTTTGGCACTTCGTTAAGGTAAGCTCAAGCTGTCCGCTCTCGCCAGACTCTGGCTATGATTTGCTGTTCTGGGAGGGGAGACCTACTTTCTACTAAATGTAGTGGATGCACAGTTGCTTATCTTGGGACCAGGGACATTTTATATACAGGCCTGTTAATTCCATGACAGCCTGTTTTATATCCTCCACAGCATAATTATCTTTGATTTCTCCGTTAAGGTAAGCTCAAGCTGTCCGCTCTCGCCAGACTCTGGCTATGATTTGCTGTTCTGGGAGGGGAGACCTACTTTCTACTAAATGTAGTGGATGCACAGTTGCTTATCTTGGGACCAGGGACATTTTATATACAGGCCTGTTAATTCCATGACAGCCTGTTTTATATCCTCCACAGCATAATTATCTTTGATTTCTCTGGAAAAGAAAAAAAAATGTTACGGGGCCAGGGAAGTGTGTAAAAAATGAAGAAATGAAGAAGTTGCCTATGCTTCAAAATTGCTGCAGGTTGTTTGTAATTGCATTAGCTGTTTCACAACTATTGCCCTAGATACTCACACTGTAGTGTCATCTTGTAATTAACCTACTCTGCCTTTGGATCATTGCATCCACAAAGCACTGGCAGGTTTTGGACTAAGAGCTCAGCAGTCTGGTCAGATATCCTTCAGTACACTGAGCTGCCACCTCACTGTCTATAGACTGGGAGCAGTCTGAGTGACTGTAGGTACCTTCTGTGGAATTGTAGAAGTTGGAGGATAGGTGGTTTTAGTCCAGCTAATTCCCAGGCGTTGCTTTGCTTTCCAGTCTCCCAGCCCATCCCTGTAAGGCAGTGCCAAGTTCAAAGTACAGTCAGAGAGCCAGATGAAAGGAGCACAGTCAGGTGCAACAACTTTGCAGGGACCAAGAGCTGTGAATTGTGGCAAATCTTTACAATAGACTATAAAATAGCATGGGAAACAGAGAGGTAAGGCCACAAGTTCAGGCTAATGCAAACAGTCTGAAGCCCAGCAGAGTTCTCTCCCCAGTCACTTGGCGAGTGAGAGAGGGGAGTGACTATGGATTGTCACTTCCTGGCAGTTGGAGGTGAAGGAGAGCAGCAAAGACAGTAATGAACCACAGTCAGAAATACACACGTTGCTTGCCGTGGGCAAGGACAGCGCTGTGCATCAGAGCTCCTGGCTGTGTGGAGAAGAACTGTTGCTTGCCAGAAGCCTCCTGTCACCATCACAGCTATTGGCAGAGAGCCAGTCATGCTGGAGCTGAAAAAATAAGTGTCAGAGGTAACATTGCAAGAAAGCAAACTTATGTCCTGGGACCTCCTGAGCCAGTAGTAGCAGCCACATCCTTTATAGTCCTCTCTTTCTTCCATGAGTTCATCCAACTGTTTTTTGCGAGCATATATATTTTTGATACTCAGAGTACTTTGTGCCAATAGGTTCTATAATTTAATTTTGCATTTTATAAAAACTACTTCCTTCTATTTGATTTTTAATGAGCTGCCCAGGAAGTTCCCTTCAAATCCATTGTTCTCAAGGGTGGGAAATGAATAGCTTTTCTCTGTTCCCCTCTGTGTACCACCCCCTATCCTTTGCTCCCATTTCCCCACTGTTGCCTCTCATCTAAACTGAAGATCCCAAATCTGTTTATCCTGCCTTCATCCAAAAATAATCCCAACCTTTGAGCTTCATTGTATCCTTTTTTGTATATTTTTGGTAAATCTTAAAGTTTTTTTTTCTATCTGAAGAAACCATTACAGCTCCATTCACAATCTCTGCAGTGTATTGGATGTTTTGGAGAAAAAGAAAGTTATTAATCGAAGTGTTATCTTTACGCAAAGAATGGTATTTCTCTATTATCTCCGTTTCTTTTCTACAGGTTCATCTCAGCCGTGGCAGAGCTTAGATATAATAAGGCATATTTTCAAGTGTTCATTATGCACATAGGACCACATGGTCTTCAGCAGATCTGAGGAGACTGCAGGTGAGCACATGGGATACACAGCCAGCTTGTGATGGGGAAAGAAAACTAAGACTCCGCACTTCTGAAGTTTGCTAAGCCCGCCAGAAGGGATGGAGATAGTTTATATGATTTATCCAGAAATTCAAACCCTAAGTATACTTGTAGGCTGTTCTTTCTTGGAGATTTTTACTTTGAAGGTATGCCTAAAACCAGAAAATAGTCCTGTTCAAAAAGGTATTGGTAAATTGGCAAAACATTGACTCTTTTCCAAGAAATGGGGAAGCCTACTAGAAACAGAAAACTAGGAAAACTACATTGTTTTTGTGTTGTCTGTGGACCAGCCTTTTCTTTTTCCATCCCAATGTGGTAGGTATAAAAAATCCTCCTATCAAGATCCTCCTGATGTAGACCTTGCAAATTTTCCTGGAGATCCTATGATGGTATCTCACTCTCCGACAGTGCAGCTGGCAGTCCCTTCCCTCAGGATAATATCATAGTCTCTGCACTTGTTCTTAGCATAGCAGTTCTGCCTGTGCCTTGCAGGGACTAGGCAGCTCAGTGTATCATGGCTTTCCCCAAAGGGGAATGAAGTCCTCAAGGCATTACTTCTCACTAACCAGGAGACTCTTACAGGTATGTGAACTCCCTTCCCAGAGAAAACCTCAGCAGCCACCACCTGGCTACCTGCTGGTACTGGGATGGATACATTGTGGTTGACCAGAGTGCCTGGGAACAAGCAACCATCAGTGCCACGGGACAGACCAGAAGGTAAGTAACATACCTGGGAACTAGCACATCCCTGTTGTTGGAGATAACAAGCCACTTCAAACCCACTTGGAAAGCAGGAACATTGCCAGGAGTTAAGGTAGTAGATGACTTATATGAAAATGTGACTGTGGGCACACAAAACAGCCCATAAAACTTGCAGCCAGTCTTGAGGTCAGAGAAATCCAAATAGAGGTGCTAGGTCTATCTTATTTGCTGTGGGCTATTAAATTCCTCCAGTGGAGAAGAGACCAGTAGCAGAGAGAAAACAGAAAAGATGGTGAATACTAAATGCAGACCCTTTTTTCCCCTCTTACGGACTTGGACAACGCTTTCATCCTCTCTTCCTTGGATCTGTGCCATGTTCCTGGCTCTGTATTTTGCCCTAGGGACAGGGAACTGAAAGGCGGAAATGACAGACACTTTGTACGCAGGGGATGAGGCCCCAGTGCTGCAGTGCCATTTCCACTTCTCCACTGCAAATTACTTCCTTCTTTTCAACATTCGCCAAATCAGGAAACAACATATAACCACAGCAGTGTGATCGCTGACATCATAACAGGCAAGGACATAGCTGTATAGCCATAGCTGTAATTACATTGTGGCAGGATAATCTGGCTCAAAATGCTGATACATACCTTTGTTCTATTATTTTTTTTACACAAAAGATCTCCTTGGTCCTAAGCTCTTTGGTTTCCAATGAGTGTATTGCTCATGACGGTCAAGAGAAACACAGCCAGACCTGGTGTGTGCACACCCAGAACTGTGTAAACAGTGTATGGTCAGGGGATCCCCACGCCACATGCAGGAGGAGCTGTCACATGTGCTGCCCAGTTCCAGACCTGCCAGTAAGAGCACTTGCTTGAGTGCCAGTTGATGCTGGGGCACACAACCCACCTGCTGGGGCACCCTAGCACCAAGGCGGTCACACATGCACTGGGCTGCACTGCTCTGTGCAGCCTTGCTCTGCCAAGGCTGTTGGGATCCAGGTCCAAAGCCTTTCTCAGCACCTGCTGAAAGGGGTCCCTGTTGGAGCACTCCAAGCAGGAAATAGGAACTGAGGGGCCTCCCCTGGCTCCCCTTTCCAGTTCCCCTTCCCAGGAGGTGCCTCAGCAACACGTGGACACCTTTTGCTGCCTGGTGTCCGTCTCCCCAAACTGTGCCTCAGCAAGCGGAAATTCCCAGGAGCAGGAGAGGCACCATGTCCCGCTGGAAGCGCAGCATCCCCAGGAGTAGCCTGCCGGGCTCCGTCTCCCTGCAGGGGTTTTGCTGCTTGTGGCCCAGGACCTGCGGGAGCTG